AACAATTCAATATATAACACGTTAAAGTCATAAACAGAATATTAAAAAAAAAAAAAAAAAAAAAAAAAAAGCTTAAAATTACAGGTTTCGAGATGTTATTAGGAGGAAGTTCTTTTCACTTATGCAACACTAAGTTTCACTTTCATTTTGCTCTCAGTAAGCTTTTAATTCCATTCAACAATTCAATATATAACACGTTAAAGTCATAAAACAAATCTTAACCCAACAAACAAAACCAGGAGCCTCAGCCTACAGCAAGATGATGCTAATCTCGCTTTTTCCAAGCGGCCAAAGAAGCCCACGTTATTCTGACCGTGGTGGACACCTTCATGTCTAGCATTTACTGGTCAAACTATCTGCAAACAGCTAAAAAAGCACTGCTGAGCAATTCTGCCTGTGCAGAGGCATGTCTTAGTCACCTTTATCTGCACATTTCTCTCATTTTATCAATGTTTCCTCTTCTAAAGCTAAGGCAGTTTCTTTTTTAAAGGATATTTATACATCCTTAATGACCCCGAAAACCTCCATTGCTTCTAAGGGGTTTGTTCCAGGCTGGCCGGGCACTGCCAGTGCATTTGCTAGGCATAAAAAGCTACCCCTATTTTTGTTCCTTTAAGGAGAAGCATGCCCGGGTTTGAGTGAAATTGAGTTAAATTGTGGGTGCGCGGAGCAGGAAGGGAGTTTGAGCAATGCAGTTAAACAGGGCGCTCTGTAAAGAAGGGGAAAGGGAGGCAGTTTGGAGAGAAAAGGGATGAGGTTGCTCACACAGCCCTTAAGGACAGGGAACAAATTCCATGGGGACGTAGTATATCCTAGGAAAGGAGCTACCTCGGTTATCAACTGTCCAGAGCAAAGCAAGGCAATAAAACGTATGGAAGCTGTACACTGACATGGTATGTAGGGACACGTATGGTATGTATACCACGTAGGGACAGGATGACAAAGCGGCCCTGGGGCAGGATGTGCCAGGAAGGGCCGGACACACGAGCATCCGTCAGGAGCAGCCCTGCAAGCTCCGCGCGCCGCACCAGGACCGAGAGCTGCAGAGAGAGGCAAAACGGCGGCAAAAGGCAAAGCCGGGAGCAGGGGGGAAACACCTCGTCCCACTAGTGAAGCCAGGAGATTTTAGATTATCTGTTTCGGGATTCATTTTTTAAATGGCAATTTTCATCATCTCTGCTGTGTCAAGGCACAGGACGCTGGTGGGGGAGGAGGGGAAGAATGGGACAACTAAATATCTGAATCATGAGGGAGTCAAAAACCCCCTCAATTCATTGCAAACCACAAAATCCCCCAACTGCCTTTCAGAATAACTCAGGTTCCTTATACTGCAGCTTTGAGGCAACGCTGGAAAACAGCGATTCCCGACCAAAGGGCATGCCAAAAAACTGGCATCCTGGAGGAGGAGAGCTCGGATGGCCGCCAGGGCCCAGCTCCCGCCTTCCCTTGGTTTCGTTGAGGCCGGGGCACCCCATGAGGCCGGACGCCACCCTCTGCATCACCATCGCACCTCTCCCCCGCCCCTCCTGCTAGGAAATTGGTTCAGAAAACCACAAAAAGTCCCTCTTCCTCGCGCCCGGCTTTAGGCCGTCTCACCAGGCCCGAGCTATGAGCAAGGAGTGTTCGGTGCCCTGTCCTGGCCACTTGCCCCTTCCGCGGGGGCTCCACAGCTGGATTTTTGCATTATGCCAACAAAATAAGTGGAAAATTAGCATCAGGCTAAGATTTTGGAGGTTCACAGTTTGAACTCTCTCTTTCCAACACAATTGCCTCAATGTTAAGTGGGACTTTAAGGGGAAAATCAAACACATACTCAAACTCTTTCTTTCTGTGGGTGTCAGCACACCCGTAGGACTCCACGCAGGCTGGAAAAGCTGGTGTCACCTGCGGGCCACCCTCGCCATGGGACATTTCCCACTGCTGCAACACGGAGGGAAGGGTGGCCCACAACCACATGGTCCTCTGCTTGCAGCCCCACGGAAATAACCATCGCAGGGTGCTTCTCAGAACCTGAAGGAGATACGGACCATCCTAACTCCTGGCCAAGTCACCAGGGGAATGGTGACCTTCCCCATCCTGCTCCCTCGCTAAGCTCAACTCGGGGCTCCCTCGCTAAGCTCAACTCCCCGTCCAAATCACTTCTCCTGGAGATGCATCACCACTTCCTCCGGGGCCACGAGGTTCCTGCTTTCAGTGCAAACAAAACCAGCACAGCCACCAAGAAGAGGAACCAGGAGTGGGACCCCGTGACCCACTGCACTCCTCCTACCACCGACCTTCCCGACCGCCTCGCACCCGGGACCCACATGGGAGCTGCGGGCACTAATTAACATCCTTTTTTTTTTCTATTCAAACAGCCACAAACTTCATTTATTCACAGGCACTCACCATTCTACCGTGACCTGTCTATGCAGGTAGCTACAGAAGCCCTATAAGGTTCTCCAGTGATGGAAACGGGTTATTCCCCGATGTGTCTGGCATGCTGAGGACCAGCTAAGATGCACTTTAAGATGCACTGAAGAACAGAAAATAATCCACATATACCCACCATCTGCTCAGGCACTTATTCACTACCCTTAAAATGATTTTTTTAATACATAAAAATCATATTTTTATTTAAGACTAAGAAGTGGGACTAGTTAACATGCAGAAAGCTGCCAGTGCCACCTCCCAGACCCGGTGCCTGCAGCAGAACCTGCCCTCACTATGTATTTCTATAACATTCCTATATTCATCAAATATCTTCGAAGACACCCACTAACTTAAAAAAACTATTTAAAACAGCAGTAAAAGGGCAGCAAAAGCTGTTCCAATTTCTGTCCTTCCACCTCCCACCCATTTGAAAAACTAATTCTCTCTGTATGTTAGTATTCTGGCAGTGGCAAAAACAGGTCTATAAAGTGACCTATGAAAGTGTCGTGGAGTAAATGCTGAAGAAATTCAAACACTTTGCAAGGATGCAAAAGCTTCACTCCTGCAACTCCCAGACTGCTTTCACATTTAAATTAAATAGGGGATATCACAAAAAAAAAAAAAAAAAAAAAAAAGGTAATTCTAGCTATGATTAATACTTCATAACCAATAATATTTGCATAATTAAGAATTATTTGCATGCTGTTGGGTAGTAACATATACATAAATGATAGCTCCAGCACTGAACATGCAGCAACACAATTTATGTGCCCACATTTAAGATGAGAATAAAAATAATCAATCCTTCAAGTTAACAAAAGTTTTAAAAATCAAGCTTGCTAAAATTATACCAAAATGCAATAACTTGAAACTTTTCCTTTCAGAGTGAAAAATGATCTTATTGTTTTGGATCAGTCACCAAAACTGCACACAAAAGGAAGGCTGGGTGGAACCTTCCATAATCTTTTAGCGTCTTCCTGATATTTCCATCAGGAATATTTGGGTTTGATGTGAAATAATACAGTTTTGGTGCACTGGCTATTGAAAACATTACTTAATCCCATCACCTTGGAACCCTCTTCATGGAGCAACATATTTCCAGCCTGCCCATAGTCACCTAGAAGAGAAAATTCTTCTTCCCACCACAGATAAATGTTGATGTGCATTTAAATAATAAAGGTGGCTTTGATTTTTTTTAATCAGTTTATTCCCCCTAAGCAAACCTATCTGGTATCACCAAAAATAGGATTCAATTAAAATATGGCAGATAAGATTGGTTTTACCTCTGTTATCATGTATTCATACATTTCACATAATTCTGAATGAACCTTTGAAGGCAAACAGCACCTAGGAAGAAACTGCCTTTTTACTCGTTGTATTAAAAGTGATGCAGGACGTGACTCAAACATGAAGTCACCTCTCTCCCCAGCCCCTGCACTTGCACCTATGTGGAGCAGCATCGGTACCGGTTCTTTCAGTGCTCTGGGTCCAGACAAGAACCAGGGCACAGAGCGATGCCCAACGTGGGTCTGTGCTTTAGCGGATTCGTTTAACAGCAATTTCAGATCTGAAAGTCTTAGGCAGAACACTCTGGTTTCTCCAACGCTGAGGCCACGCTGAGGTTTGTCTAAGGAGTGCAGCGCACAGACGGATCTCTAGTGCTCCCTGGAGCCCTAGGCTTTGCTTAATGCAA